AATTGAGAAGTTCGATGGTACAGATTTCAGTTGGTGGAAGATGCAAATTGAAGATTTGCTGGTTCAGAAAGATTTGGACGTGGTTTTGGGTGACAAGCCAGAAAAGATGTCGGATGCAGATTGGGCAGGTTTGGATCGGAAAGCTATGTCCGTGATCCGTCTCTCGTTGACCAAGAATGTTGCGTTCAACATTCTGAAGGAGAAGACAACGAAGGGAATAATGGAAGCGCTGTCTAATATGTACGAGAAGCCATCTGCAGCGAATAAAGTTTTTCTGATTAGAGAGCTGGTGAACACAAGGATGAAAAATGGCACTTCAGTTACCGAGCATATCAACAAGTTGAATTCGATCTTAGCCAGACTTTTGTCAGTTGGCATTAAGTTCGATGATAAAGTTCAAGCTTTACTACTGTTATCGTCATTGCCTGACACTTGGTCCGTAACTGTTACAGCAGTTACCAGTTCAGCGGGACCTGACGGATTCACTTTTGAGAAGATTCGTGACCTTGTTCTTGGCGAAGATGTCAGAAGAAGGAGTTCTGGTGAGTCTTTGGAAGAATCACTAAATATCGTCAGAGGTAGAGGAAATAACAGAGGTAGTGGGAGCAAGAACAGACGAAGGAGTCGATCGAAGACTCGGGATAGCTCAGGCGTAACATGCTGGAAGTGCAAGGAGGTGGGGCATTTCAGGAATCAGTGCCCGAAAGAGGATAAGCAAGTGAACATTGCTAGAGGCTCCGCGAGCGATGAGGATTTGTTTTTCTGTTGTGCGGAGAGCAGTGTAGATTCCTGGGTCATGGATTCTGGTGCTTCATTTCATGCTACCCACAGCGGTGAAGCATTGCAGAATCTAGTTGTTGGGGACTTTGGAAAGGTACGACTAGCAGACGACGGAGCTCTTGATGTGACGGGCATGGGTGACATAGTGCTGAAGACCCCTGTCAGTTTCTGGACTTTGAAGGATGTCAGAGTGGTTCCAGCCTTGAAGAAAAGTTTGATTTCTGTTAGGCAGTTGGACGAACAGGGACACGAGGTGAAGTTCGGAAATGGGCAGTGGAAGGTCGTGAAGGGAAATCTTGTCATGGCCCGTGGAAGGAAGAGAGGTTCGTTGTATATGGTCGAGTTACCATCTGAGGGAGTGAC